AATTAGAAGTACAAAACGAGAATTTGTAAAGAAGAATGTCGGAGGATTTCGATATAAGCCAAGAGGAGACTGGTTTTCCTTTGCTAAAGTAAGGAAACTTTGCTTCCTTTGCTCCTGTTAACATACGTTGGTTTTCACGAGACTCACCGGCACATGCACAGCACCAACCTCATATACGTCATGCTCCCGGAACTGCTTCTGTGTACAACTGCTGGCTCAAGCTAGATTCAAGTGATTATTACGTTTTGAATATGGATATTTTTCTTACAAAAACGCATCGATTCGCTACAGAAGGCCTTTGTTTACCCCCCGGAGCCGTGTGAGACACTTTTTTTATGGATGAGCGCATTAATTAAGTGCTTTTGGACTGAAGCAATGCAACACCCGCTGAGTAGCATTAAACTGTTTGAAAGATCAAAGACCATTTTTAATATAACTCCGACTGGATTCGTCTGAAAGAAGAAAGTCCATATACACCTAGGATGACTTGAGGGTGAGTAATTTAGCTAGATTCAAGTGATTATTACGTTTTGAATATGGATATTTTTCTTACAAAAACGCATCGATTCGCTACAGAAGGCCTTTGTTTACCCCCCGGAGCCGTGTGAGACACTTTTTTTATGGATGAGCACATTAATTAAGTGCTTTTGGACTGAAGCAATGCAACACCCGCTGAGTAGCATTAAACAGTTTGAAAGATCAAAGACCATTTTTAATATAACTCCGACTGGATTCGTCTGAAAGAAGAAAGTCATATACACCTATGATGCCTCGTGGGTGAGTAATTTATGGGCTAATTTTCATTTTTGGGTGAACTAACCCTTTAAACCACCAAAGGGGTGATTGTCACCCATGATCAATTTGTATAAATCCATGTAAAGACACAGGAAAAGGGTAAATTACGGGACACTCTCCAGGCCTACAACACAAAGGATCTAAGACACCATGATAACATTTAACTCAAGCAACAGATGGCCCGTGGTACCCCATGACCATTTACGCATAAATTGATAAGCGAATAAACAAGGAACAACCACCACCAGTGCGCAGCATCCACTTGGATGATGCGACGGCAGCCCCAAGACAACGGCGCCAGTGCACTCACCACACACCAGCTACAGGTGGAGAGGAGAGAGAGACAGAGCCAATCAAGTGGTTGGGGATTATTAGGAGGCCATGATTGACAAAGGCCAGGGGGGCAATTTGGCCAGGACACCGGGGTTACACCCCTACTCTTTACGAGAAGTGCCATGGGATTTTTAATGACCACAGAGAGTCAGGAACTCGGTTTAACATCTAATCCGAAAGACGGTGCTTTTTGACAGTATAGTGTCCCCGTCAATATACTGGGGTGTTAGGACCCACACAGACCACAGGGTGAGCACCCCCTGCTGGCCTCACTAACGCCACTTCCAGCAACAACCTAGTTTTCCCAGGAGGTCTCCCATCCAGGTACTGACCAGTCTCAACCCTGCTTAGCTTCAGTGGGCAACCAGTCTTGGGCTGCAGGGTGATATGGCTGTGGCGTGGAGTGGCATGGCGTGGCGTGAATGAAAAGTTGGTATTATATACGCTGTTCGTAGTACGACACTTTATTGAAGTTATCTCACAAGGATGTTCCCCACATGACAGACAGAGCTTTAGGTTAATTTATGCACGAAGAGGAACGATACGGGGCATTGCCCTGCCCTGCAGCAATGTCTGATTGGAACACCGCGTTGTGGGACGGACGTATGCGGCTTGCTCAAAACCCAATGTCCGAACAGATTCAGTGCCTTTTGCCTTCGTTTGATCGCGCTCTCACTTGCGCTCACTCGCTGCACCATCATGCGATTGTGCCATCCAGAACTCTACAGAACCAGTTGAAGCTTTGTGACTCAGCCGAAATCTTCAAAGTCTCAGCCGCTCAACGTAGACTCTCTGAATAACTTAGAGCGCATCACTCTCCGTAACTAAGGCAACCGACTTCCGAAGCTCCTACGTAACCAGGCAACCCTCCATTCATCGTCGAGTGAATCCCAAGACGTCATGCAAAGAATGATCGCCAACCAATCAGAAGCGCCGTGATTCCCTGAGGCAAGTCAACGAGGAAAACCCTGTTTTCAACCAAAACGCAAGTAAACTAGTTTTCTTCTCTCTCTGAAACTGGTGCTAACTCAGTAACTCTCATCCTCTCAACTGTATGTGTGTGTGTGTGTGCGCTTTTAGTAGTAGTTTCATGTATCTTAGAGTAGCAAATAATAAATTCTTGTTTCATTTTAAAGAAGCAGTGTCTTGTTATGTGTTTATAAAGCTAACCTCATGCCCCGATCTTGTTACCTAGCAAATACATCAATCACGTGCATGTATTATGACCTTTAGCCAAGGGAATAATATAAATATCAAAATTGTTAAGATATACAAATTTTAACGTTTGGCTGGACAAATAGTTGATAAAGTGTAAACTATCAATTTTGAATCAGTTTTAATCAAGTTCATTTTGAATCTTTGGATTCGATTCCCTTTGAACTGAAATAATTTCCTTACACTGTCATTAGTTTCCACTGTTATGACAATGATATCCAGTTTTATATTTCCCCACAACCTGACCAAAACTGCAAAACTCAAGTTTTAGTCTAAGTTTTTCTAAGCAGTGTTTTAATGATAGCAAAGACGGAAGGGTAAGTGTGCCGCTTAGATCACCTTTGTGTTAAAGAACTGTTAAAAGTCATTAAAAAAAGTCAAAAGTCATGATAAATGAGCTTATTGATGCAATTCAATAAATCTCCTATTTCATATGGATTGCCTGGTCAAAGACTTCCTTAAATGTTTCTATGTAGAGTTAAATTTAAGTTTAATGATGCAACACAAAAATGTTTAGTAAAACAATTATTTTGCCACTTTATGTCGCAACTAGGCTAAGTTGTAAAGTACCGTATTGACCCGAATATAAGGATGTTTTTTCTTGGAAATACGTCTGAAAAAACGCGGTCGTCTTATATTCAGGGTCTAGACTTTGACATGTCAATAATACACCCACGACAATAGGTGGCGCCAAATACGCATAAAACCA